ATACTTTAATAATCCCAGGGGGAAATTACTTTCCTTACATACTCCATATGAAATAGATACATACACTGAACAAAATTATAAACACAACACTTTTGTTTTTGCCCCCATTCATCATGAGCAAGTTTTTAGGGAGCGTGCAATTGGCATGCTGACTGCAGGAATGTCCACCAGAGCTGTTGCCTGTGAATTGAATGTTCATTTCTCTACCATAAGCCGTCTCCAAAGGCTTTTCAAAGAATTTGGCAGTACATCCAACCGGCCTCACAACCGCAGACCACGTGTAACCACACCAGCCCAGGACCTCCACATCCAGCATCTTCACCTCCAAGATCGTCTGAGACCAGCCACCCGGAGCTGCAGCTGCTGCAACAATCGGTTTGCATAACCAAAGAATTTCTGCACAAACTGTCAGGAACCGTCTAAGGGAAGCTCATCTGCATGCTCGTCGTCCTCATCGGGGTCTCAACCTGACTGCAGTTCGTCGTTGTAACCGACTTGAGTGGGCAAATGCTCACATTCGATGGCGTCTGGCACTTCGGAGAGGTGTTCTCTTCACTGATGAATCCCGGTTTTCTCTGTACAGGGCAGATGGCAGACAGCGTGTATGGCGTTGTGTGGGTGAGCGGTTTGCTGATGTCAGCATTGTGGATCGAGTGGCCCATGGTGGCGGTGGGGTTATGGTATGGGCAGGCGTGTGTTATGGACAACGAACACAGGTGCATTTTATTGATGGCATTTTGAATGCACAGAGATACCGTGACAAGATCCTGAGGCCCATTGTTGTGCCATTCATCCACGACCATCACGTCATGTTGCAGCATGATAATGCACGGCCCCATGTTGCAAGGATCTGTACACAATTCCTGGAAGCTGAAAACATCCCAGTTCTTGCATGGCCAGCATACTCACCGGACATGTCACCCATTGAGCATGTTTGGGATGCTCTGGATCGGCGTATATGACAGCGTGTTCCTGGTCCTGCCAATATCCAGCAACTTTGCAAAACCATTGAAGAGGAGTGGACAAACATTCCACAGGCCACAATCAACAACCTGATCAACTCTATGCGAAGGAGATGTGTTGCACTGTGTAAGGCAAATGGTGGTCACAACAGATACTGACTGGTTTACGGACCCCCCCGGACCCCCCAATACAGTGAAAGTGCACATTTTCGAGTGGCCTTTTATTGTGGCCAGCCTAAGGCACACCTATGCAATACCCATGCTGTCTGATCAGCATCTTGATATGCCACACCTGTGAGGTGGATGGATTATCTCGGCAAAGGAGAAGTGCTCACTAACACAGATTTTGACAGATTTGTGAACAATATTTGAAAGAAATAGACCTTTTACATAGAGAAACTCTTAGATCTTTGAGTTCAGCTCATGATGAATGGGGCAAAAACAAAAGTGTTGCATTTATAATTTTGTTCAGTGTATATTAAGAATATATATAATATAATTTAAAGTCACACTTTCAAATGTGCAAAAATGGCAAGTGTAAAGTGGATTATTGGATTGTATTATTACTTAATATGAGAACTATACCCCTATAAAACGGCAAATTGTCATTTTTGCACTTTTGAGTTATTGTATGGATTAAACAAACAAGATATAATGTGTTAATTAGTGAGCTTTAGAGGTGCTGGCAGGATTTTTACGTTTGGACAAAGCCACGCTAGCTGTTTCCCCTTGTTTCCATTCTTTATGCTAAGCTAAACCAACTTTCTACTGGCTTGAGCTTCATTTTCAACAGACAGACGTGAAATTGGTCTAAACCTTTGTCCAAATCTCTCTAAGAAAGCAAATCATTGATTTTCCAAAATGTGAAACAGTTCCTTTAATTATGTTTTCACACGTTCATTTTTAATTGCTTACCTTGTTGAGATATCACCCTGACCTATTGATCCCATAGGCTCACTTTGACTACATCCTCTTTCACAGTGTCTCCCATGCTGTATTATAATTAATCCACAACCAATTGAACAATGAGTTAACACGCTTGTTAACCTCTGTGATGGAGGCTGCACTCTCTGAGGCTTTACATAGAGATTAGTGAGCCCACTACTATCTGTGGTAGGGGACTAAAATCCTTATAAATTACAAAGATATGGCCGCATTGAGACAAACCTCTGATTTAATTTTGATGAAACGAAGGCATGACGTTCAGTATTGTGTCCTTGATTGGTTTAAGTTGTATCTTTATACTTTAGACACATTTTCTGTTAATATCTTCTGTCATCTTGTCCTCAGGACATCTGGACTGTCCAGTCTTCTTTGGTCTGGTCATTTAGAAACAGCTTTGAAACTTAATGGAAATGGAAATGGGCAGTTGTATTCCACTTCACATATTTTCATAGACTTTCTCTGTGGGTTCCTTGGCAGACATGATGTTATTGAGGACTGTTATGAAAGTTATTGCTGCTGTTAAAAAGGGAGTTACAGGGATCCTTGAATAAACTGGTTACATAAAGGATCTATTTCTCTCTGTCAGTGAGGCCGCGTCTTTACTTTTCTCACTCCTTGGTCTGTTCTCCTCATCTCTCCATGACTTACAAGCTTCAAAGACTTCACAGACTCCTTCCTGACTTTATTGTTTCTTTCTGGTTGACATTTACATATTAAGTTGAAAGTAAACGCTCTGCACCTTCTTGTATACAATCCCTGTGAGATATCCCAGGTAGTGAAAGGAAATAAAGGGAGACAGGAGCAAGTGAAAGACAGACGTTCTATTGTCTTTTGTTTCGGTCTGCTGACCTTTTTCAAGACAAAAAATATAAAATCCCAAGATAGTACTAGAGGAAAATCAGTTGGGCAAAATGTCAGCAAATACAGAGGCAGAGGTGCAGATGGATTTAGTCCTTGTGCGCTTTCATACCCCACTTGAGAGAAAAAGCACTGACATGCGTTGTATCTACATTGATCTCTGATAAGTCCCGTGCAGCTGCTCATCGGGAGCAAAATAGGTTCACGATCCCATCTGTGGATTTATTTCTTTTGTTTCTTTCTTTTGATGATGATTTATAGCACTGCCATGCTACACTATGACATGGTTTAACACCTGTTGGACACCGAGGGCAACCTGCTTGGCCCTGAGCTCTGTAGTTGAAGCAGAAAATAGGGCAAGAATTTTCTTCTTGATTATCTGTCTGACTGCCTCACCACATGTTTGACCCCTGATACATTACATGCCAGCCTGTTTAGTCACTGAAGAGCCGCATGGCTGGGAAATAAATCCTGACCTGCACAAGCATTTTAGTGTGACCGGCGAGTGGCTTCCGGGTCCTTCAGTCAGCAGAAATCCATCTCATTAACTTGCGAGTTGCACAGACATTCACACCCCTTATGTCTCAGTCTTGGCAGTCTTGACTTTGCTGCCCACAGACAAAAGTCAGAACGCAGCAAGAGGCAGCCTACTCTCTGAACAGGAAGCCGACATCAGCTCAGACACCAAACATGTGTTTCAATTTGCTATATTTTGACTCTACCTGCTTCAAGAAGCAACATAGAGACTGACCTTAACAGTTTAGGATTTGCATTTGATATAATTTGTATTTAGTATTCAGTATTTTTTTGCTACCACACCAGTTGATTCCTTCTTTGATACCATACTTTAAGAAATATTAACTAGTTTGACAAGCAGCTGCAAAATAGTCTTGAATTGTCAAAATCATCATCAGTCATCAAGTCCGTTAAAATTAAAAACAAGAACGCAATGTTTTATCACCAAATGTTTTTGGCTATTTTACATACACAGAAATGAAACCGACAGACTTTAACATACCCATCGTTTATCGTAACATTCACACTTCTGCATCTTGTTTTTTTTGGCATCTTAACGTTAAATTACATTTTTTTTATTTAAATCCGAATCTGTCTGATCATAGAACTAGTAAAGGGAGCTGTGAAATTTCTGTTGGTACCCAAAAATTGATGTTTGATACCAAACTCAATTTAACAGTATTTTACCGACATTCAGATTAAGTACGCCAGGTCAAAGTATGTATGTGAACAAACATGAAGTAGAATAAAATAATTAAAAGGCATGAGTTAAGTAATCAGTCTGAAGTTAATAAGTCAGTAAAAGCTTATGTCTCTTTCTCCCATTCACTATGAAAGTCTGGCTGATGGAACAGCCACTTTCCAGAAATGCTTAAAAAACATTTGCCAAATTCAAGGATTTTTCCCAGGGGATATCTGTGACGTTAAGTAGCACTGGAGGAAATCGGAGCTGCCACTAGACATTAGATATCCATCCTTTTCCAATTACCAGCAGTAGTATTTCAATATTTATCACTGCCTCTCTTTCTTCTTTCTTTCTGACTGTTGGTTTTTCAGTAGAAAGTCTGGTGTAGGGTCAGGGTTTTAATTGTCTACTTCAACCTCATCTTCCTCTTTTCTCTCATTGATTGGAAAAGCCATAAACCAACAATAAGAATAGCCTGTGGGGAAGCTCTAAGTGCCCGCTCCTTCCCTCCCTTTGCTTGTATGTTAGCTGCATTCTGTATTCCCACTAGCCGTCTCATTCCATCATAAATGCTTTTTAAACCACTTGACTGGAAAATTGACTTGGCATGTCAATTCTGCTGAACAGCCCCAGTCAACACTTTCAGTTTGTCTGCGTTTGGAGATGCTTTTGTTGTTGATTCTGTTTGTGTCAAATTCTCACGTGCCCTTCTTTTTCTACTGAGAGTGAACTTGTGAATTTATTTCACTGCAACTCAACCAGGCATATCGAATAAGAACAAGGTCACTGAATACCCTTAAATTGCCAGAGGAAGATCAATGATGTTCAGTTTGATTTTATGCAGCGAATAATGCAATAAGTCACTGCACTGAAGAAAAATGCATGCACAGCTATGATTAATAGCACTTCTGCTGCATTGGATCTAGGGAGCATTGAAAAAATTAACACTGTTTACTAGCACATAGCCATCGCTTTAGTTAAACATTTGATAAATCACTGTAATTAAATCGTCTTTGTCTTTTCTTTTCCTTCAGGTGCCCGAGAAATTCCTCGTTTAAGACTACCAGCAAAGGGGACAGTATTTTGAGTATCTGAGTGTTGGAGATCGATCACCAACCGACCAATTCTGTGAGTCTGACTGACCTGACGCCATAAGAAGAGGACAGCTCAACTGAAACATCAGCTGATCCTCTACACTGATGAATGTTAGTCGGCAGCTTCCAATTCTGTGCCATCATTGGGATTGCGTATTACTCTGAAGTTAAAAAACGCCAGTCCTTGGACTAATTCGCCTGGCTTTTAACTTTGGCATACCACATGGCTGCAGCAGCAACCTGACACTGGGATAGTATCAACATATGATCACATGCCCATATCAGCAAAGTTTTATCTGAAATCGGGGCCTTATGTCTTAGATTACACTGAACTTATCATTTGGTTTATCTGTAGTTAAGTATATTAGATCAAGGTTCATCTCACCCAGGGATTAATGCTGATCAAAACATTTTAGTACTTTTGTCATGCGGGGAATCTGTAGACACACCAGAAACAAGGTGGCAACTCAGACTGTAGGTGAAGCTTACTGCATAGCCTCCCCATCTTCATTAATGATCCCATGAGAAGTCGGCTGTCAGCTAACCACATGTCCTTATCAGAGATCTAATAGCAGTTGATATTTCCAATATGGCCGTCTGGGTGAGCGTATGCCTGTAGCAGCGCCAGCGTTGTCGTGGCTGGCCGTCGCAGGACGGTCATCTTCCTCGGCCATGACCCGGCTGATGTTGGGCCGGACTCTGGAGCGCATCTGTAAAGGCGTCCTGCTGCTCTGCCTGCTCCACTTCCTCATCATGATGATCCTGTACTTTGACGTCTACACGCAGCGCTTCGACCTCTTCAGCCGCTTCAACAACGGCCGCAATGGATCCAGGAATAACGTCAGCGGAGCAGCAGGGAACGGACATCATTTTTACTATTACAACCTTTCCAGGCCAAACGCAACGTTAGCCAGCTACCTGGCCACAGGCGAGCAGCTGGTGCCGACTGTGCAGCCCGAGACCAATCAGACACCTTCCCCAAAACCGCTGCCGCCGTGCTCTGAGAACCCGCCCGGCCTTGGTGAGTTATAATGTCTTTTCCCCACTATGACAACCATTTCCAAGTACTGTTAAAAATTAGTCTAGTAACATAGAACATAGAAGATAGCTGACTGGCTACATTCGTTGTCTTGAGTCACAACAGTCCTGTAAGTTTACCGAACTGTTGTGACAGCAGGGGTCTACCGATTTCAGGTGTGGCGAGCTGCCTCTGGCTATCTCCTGCTAAATTTAACGTTCACATCCACGAGTGACAGAATGAAAAAAGAAGACTCTAGAAACTCATCTGGGCTCTTGTGCTGTGGTTGGTGACAGTGGTTATGAGAGGAAAGGACGCAGCAGGGGGCCATCTTACTTTATCGAGTCTGTCCCTGCCATGTGGCCAGCATGCTAATGTTAGCCAGACAACAGTAGGCACTTATCGGGCTGGAGCAGATGTTTGCAGACTTTTCTGCTCTATCTGTTCAGTAATTGGTAAAGTAGATATCTGTGCTCTGGGATAACATGTTTTTTAATGCTTATTACTGTTCAAAGTGAATCCAAATGGACACAAAGAGGGTTTTCCCTTGTGTCTCTGGCTTTGAGTACATTGTTTTTGGGCTCTTGGGTCATTTTAAACCACGGTTATCTTGCTTCTATTCTGTGCTGTAAACTACAGCTCATTATATCTTTATGAAGTCTTATGAGTCTGCATGACTGAGCTTGAAATGTGACTTTTCTATTTTGATTACTTTCTATCCTGCTTAATCACCTTTTCCGAAGACCTATTTGCTAGATTTGTTTATCCACATGGCTCGCTGTGTTTGTTGTTATAGCCTGTACATACTGTATGCCCGATAACAGAGGATTTGCACATCATTGATTAGTGTAATGAATAGGGGAGCTGAGACCTTGATTGGGGCTTGAATCTGGAGAGCACTATTTTATATTCAGTAAATAAATGCATCTCCAGTCTTATTCCAATTAGCGGGAGAGCAAGTGTAGCCATAATTTTGTTTTTCCGGGTCATTCCGCAACATAAAATGGATTTAATGTCAACGATTTACACTGTGGTATTTCAACCTTATACACTCACAGCGGAGCTATTAGCAGAGATTCATGCAGTCGGACACGTATAAGCACATGTCTACAGAAATGCACACAGCAGCTCAGGTACTCACCACAGCTTTCGAAGATTTCTTTGGAAGATTTAACATGTCTAAGAACGCAGAATTTGAAATAATAAATAAATTAAGATGCTTAGAGCAATGTAGAGGCAAGTTGTTGACATCTTGTGTAGATGTTTCACTTCACTGTGCTACATTTTTTTTGAGGTTATAGAGGCATAGTTGGCAGTTTTTCTATTTCTTCAGTTATTTCTCTAGTGTTTTATGATTTGAAACACTCTGTCTTACGATAGATACAAATCCCATAATCCTCTTTGTGTATTGAGACAAAAATCCATACATCATCACTAGAAATGAACCATGGGAGTCTGGACTTTTTTATCATGGTATGAATTGCCTTCATCAGCGAAAACCTTTCTAATGAACTAGCACACATGCCACACACACACACACACACACACACACACACACACACACACACACACATACATATGTATTATGGCAGTAACACATGTACACTTGTGATACAGTACAAAAAGGTGGAGGCAACACACACACACACACACACACACACAGACATCACAACCACACACATCTCATTATCATCAGTATCCATCCACCCAACAAATCAGAGGTTGATTGAGTCACACTAAGCCCCGGGTTTACTAAATCTATAATTACATACTGGACACAAACGTTATCACACAGAGACGCCCACACACACACACACACACACACACACACACACACACACACACACACACACACACACACACACACACATCATCTCTGTCCCCAGCTCTCTGTCATGAATACTCACAGATAATTAAGCTCAGGCAGGAGGAAATAACTCCTGCTGTCTTTATTTCACATTAGCCAGAGTAGCTTTGACCGCTGATCTCTCTGATCAACTCATCCTGATACCACTGAGGCAAAAACCTGCTTTTATTCAGCTTTAAAGAAACAGTTTGACAGTTTGGGAAATATACCTATAGCCTTTTAATGAGTGTAAGATGAGAAAATCAACACCACTATCTGTCAGTTAAATATGAGGCTAACGATATAACATGTTGATTAATGACCTTAAGAAGTGCTGGAATGTGGATTTTGTTAACTTTTGGACAGAGCCAGGCTAGTTTCCACTCCAATCTCCACTCCAAGCTAAGCAAACCAGCTGCTGCGTTAGAGTGATATTGATATTGTTGTTTAAGTCTGGGCAAGAAAATGCGGATTTACCAAGATGTCAAACAATTCCTTTAATATTTATTTTCAAGTCCCAAGTTCACATAGAACACAAAACTTGGCTCCACATTCAGCCATGTTAACTACTGCAACTGACTTTTTGAATTAGCTTGACTTAACTTAAAGTTCCTCTCCACTCAAAAATATGTTTTTCTTCTTGTTCCAAGTCAAATCTGTCAACTGTGCAACTTCTACAGGGAGAAATTAACAACATTTTCATATTTATAGATTCTGGATTTTTAATGAAAAAGTCAGTAATCCATAATAAACAATGAGAGAAAGGCTCATGATCAGGCACAGCTTGATAATATATAGATTTATATCTACACAACAAATTAATTGATTCAGCCATCTTTATTCTGATCATTAATTGAGAAGTTGCTCCTCATATAAGGCATATTAATGATGCATGTAGTGCTTGATAAAACAGATTTATATTCCTTTTGTCAGATAAGACACTTTGGTGATGAAATGAAAATATGTTTCTTATTTTCTCCCACCTGTTCCATCTGTAAATGAGCTTTGTAAACTTAATCCCTTGCGAGCACCATTGTAGCAGTGTCAACATTTTTCTCCCTTTTTTTTTTAGTGATTGCTTTTCTCATTTGATAATGAGGTTTGTAACGTGCTTTGAAATTGGGAGTGGGAGATAAAGCTGTCAGGTTGATTTGTATGAAGCTGAGGTTCGCTGATTCCATTATTTGGCCTGGAATTGGCTGTCACTGACTCTGGATTTGGCATTCATACCAGGCACAGGTGTACTCTTGTAGCTTATCTCTGCCTTTTCTCTGTGATGGAGTGGCTGCCTGGGGGCTGTAATGAGCAGGAAGGCAGAGAAAGACTGAGCGAGTCTGTTTTTCAGTCACAGGTGCAGAGAGAGAGGGAGAGAGAGAGAGGGAGATCTAATGGATGGTGGTATGATGGTTGGTATGAAGTGAGACAGACAGAGAGGCGGGATGGAGTGAAGGAAGGAACAGCAGGTGGAGAGGTGAGGGGGCGTTGAGGGAAAAAGAGAGAGACCTTAGATGGAGGTATACACATACACACACACACACACACACACACACAAGAGAGAGAGAGAGAGAGAGAGAGAGAGAGAGAGAGAGAGAGAGAGAGAGAAACAAACAAACAAGCCCTTGGCTGTCCCAGAACACCAGCTGACAGGTGCTGTCTGTATGAGTGGCTAGCATCCACAGTTTGTATCCTAGTTGCATATGTGTGTGTTTGTGTGTGTCTGTGTGTTTTTTGTGTGTTAGTGTGAGCTGGCATGTGGGATATGCAAATCGGCTGTTCATCAAAAATGTAACCTAGGCATTGACAAATAATGCCAAAAGAAATGCTGAAAAGCCACGTCTTTTCTCAGGAAGAATGCAAAATTAGGGACGTTAATTGAAAACTGCAAACATTAATTCTGCTTTCGTCTAATTTATGGTTTATTTAAAAAACCCATAGGAAGAACATTTTATCTACTACTAATTTGTTTTCCTAATTGCTAGCTCCCTCAAATGTGAATATTCGCTGGTTTTATTTGTCTTTTATGACAATAAACTGAATATATTTGGGTTTTGGACAGCTGGTTTGGCAAAACACTCAATTTGAATATGGTATGCTATGGAATAACAATCTTATCAGCCTGATGTCATTATCAATTTGGGGTCCTTGAAAATGTAAAAAATGTTGAGAACCACTGATTTAGCAGGCTACTTCCAGATTATTATAAGTTTTCGTTTCGGTGTGAAACACTTTATGTCATTGTGTTAGGAGGGTCACATGATCAATGCTCTATTAATAGTGCAACCATTATGTTTTATGTTATGGTTTTATGTTATGACGTATACAGATGCATGAACTTCTTGAACAAGCTTGACACGTGTTTAAATCCAGAGAAGCTGCTGATTGAATCCTTTTTGTGTTCTTGTGTTGTTTGAGTGCCTGTTTTTTTTGCACAGATATCACTTTTGTGCTTTGGATGGCGTTTCCCACTGTTACCCGTGAAATATTTGATGTAGAACCAGCCTCAAATTAAAAGCAGGTGTTCCACTGTATCTAGTCTGCATTGGACGGTGACATGAGCTCTAATGTGTTACGTTTTGATCTGAATGTTTTTAATAGCCAATTTTCTACTTGTAGCCAGTTTATGCTCAGACATGTGTGTGTGTGTGTGTGTGTGTGTGTGTGAATTCTTCTCAAGCTTGAACCCTATTATTTATTCTTGCTATTAATCACTTCTTCCTACACACACGACATGTGGACGCTTGAGCGCACTCGCACAGAGCTCAGTGGGAGGTTAAAAACTATTTTCCAGGCCTTGTTTTAATTGGATGCTCTACAGGGGTTTTCCCAATCAAATGTAATTAGCAAGAATTAACTGTCTTCTTACATGCTAATAAACTACGGATGCTAGATTCTGAGCAGGATGCACCTGAGACGTCCCCATCCAGGAGGACATGAATATAATGACTGAACAGAGAAATGCCACGACATGCCATGCCGTAGTGCACGTGACCTCGAAAGTGGGGTCTTTCACAGGTAATGGTCAGTGCTGGGCAGATGCAGGGTCATTCCTTCCTGTTCTCTTTCACTGCTGTACATTGGACGCTGCCACCTCTTTGCAGGATTGAACTTCAAAGCCTGCTGTCACCCAACTTATTCACTTATTAACGTAATTATGAGC